GAAAGAATTTCTGGAGTTGGATTGGGCCATTTTTAAATAAAACGAAAACCCTAAAAAAACACCCAGACGTTATTCCTATAAGAACCCAATTTGGGCCAACATCCCTCCAATGAAATTAGGGCTTCTTCAATTCTCCCTTACCTTCTACCGCGAATCAATGGTGATACGGGCAAGAACCAACTGAAACTCGGTTCTTGTTTACTGTTCTGCTTTCTTCTTCCTCTCTCGATCTTTACCTGTAATTTTTCTTTTTGTTTCCTGTTTTCAAGATTTTGAGATATCCCGATGATCTTGAGACTGTAGCAGTTTGTATTTAGTTTCTTAAATTGCTTTCTGTGGGATAGTGAATTCGTCTAATAGTGTTTCTACGGTGCCTGGATATCACTGTTGAACATCTATCGAACACGGGATGGTTTGGTTTGTGATTTTCGAGTATTTTTCTGCTTGTTCTTCCCCTCAACGCATAATCCTTGTATTGTAGAAGAAAAATGAAAATAAGGAATGTGGAATCTCATTGACGAGGGGAGGAGTTTTACTGCTCATTAGATTTGGACTCTATTTTACACACTTTACATCACAAATTGCTGCTGCAAGTTATCTTAAAACCTCTTGATCTCATTGGCGTTAATTTGGCAAATCGACCAAATTAGTTTTTGTGCGCCGTTGCTGATGTGGTAGCGGTGGGTAAGGCTGGTTAATAATAGCGAAGGTTTTGATGGATTCTAAAATATATGTAATGTTTTGATGGATTCTTCGAATTATTTTTCTTCAATAATTGTTCTGTGTTCTGGGATAATAGAGGGTTGGAGAATAAACTACATTCTTTATGCAGTTATGACCAAAGGATTATTCGTCTCTGATTTATTTTTGTTTAAATATCGTCATCTTTACAGCAGGTTGGTTACCTTATACCAACCCTGTGTCTGAGGATGACAAAATGGAGTTCCTCCATACCTTTATTATTGTGAAAATTATTTGGTTTTCACCGAGTAAACAAGGAGGATACATGTCTACGGATGAGAATGCCATAAATTCCTCTTTCATGCTTATTTCCTCACACTATATAGATTATTCTCTTTAATGTTTTGTCTATCATCAATGACTTGGTAATATATTTCAGTCATCTTTAAAGCAAATAGGTCATTTCTATGCCAATTTTGTGTCGGAAGATGACGATATGAACTTGCATCCTCTATTCATTTTGAAAGATTGGAAATCACTTTCATTTTTCAAGTAGAGGTTGTCACAAACATACTTCGAATCGATGTTCCACCATGTCCTCAACCCAGAAGTCTCATCTGAAATTATGCTTATCGTTCCTTCCTTAGATTTTTCTCTTTAAATGAATTGTCTGTCATTGACTTGGTCTTATATTTCAGTCATCTATAAAGCAAATAGGTTATTTCTATACCGATTTTGTGTCGGAAGATGACAACATGAACTGTGCACCCTCTATTCATTTGAAAGGTTGGAAATCACTCACTTTCATCTTATAAGTAGAGGTTGTCACAAACACATTTCAAGAAATCCCTTTGTTCGTGTGCTCAATGCCCTTGCCAAGTTCATACCAAATGTGATTTTCCTTATTGCATTAGTTAGAATTCTAGAGGATGGAATCTCTTTTTATTTCATTCATACCTTTGAGAGTTTGTATCCTCAAACACATGTTTCTTTTCAATAATTCAATGAAAAGTTTGTTTCCTTGATGTTCTTGACCAAGATCATCCAGATAGACTTTGGGTTAGAACTTAGAGTTAATATTATGATTATTTACCTACACATGATATCAACTGTCCTATCATGGTTGGAGCTCATGGGCCATTTGTATAACTTGGCTAGTTCTAGTTGGAAAGCTTTGAAGTTGTAGTTTCTAGTATTTTTCTCCATCTGTGTGATTGGGAAATATTTTCTGAACATAGGTCGTCTTTTCAGTATTGCCTGCTCTCGGGTTTACAGGAAATTTGTTCCTTGTCACAGATGTTCAAGTCTTTCTGGTCAATAATTTCTTAGTGATTATCTGAGTGAATTTCAATCATTTTCTAATTGATTGTTTTTAAAATCTTAGAGCCTGTTTTCTTGGTTTGTAATTCATTTTTTATCAAGCTTTCTTATCTTACATTGTAATCAAAGTTTGGAAACTTAAATTTTATTCCATGGTAATTTCGGGATTAAAATTTTTTCTAATTTGTTAATAATATATTTTTTGCTTTTCAAAGCCCAATTAAGTTTTAGTCAAGTTTTATAGATTATAATAATAATTTTAATTTTTTTTACTGTAATTTCTAAGAGCATTTCTTGAATGGATGCTGAAGTAGAAGGTAGTCTTGAGCGTAGTAATACAACTACTTTTAGGAATAACGTTCAATCACCTCTTAAGATTTCAAAAAGAAATAAAGATATCAAAAGTCTGCTTAAGGAGTTGAATAAAATGTAAAATTGAAAATAAAACATTTAATTGTAGCCTCAAGAATCTCATCTTGTTATTTTGTTTTATACAAGTAAATGAAATTAAGCGAAATGAAATGTACAATAACAATACCTTTACTTTATTATTATTTTAAATAATACCTTTATTTGTGAGTTTATTGATGCCTGATAAGAATCTAATCACCCGTTGATTGAGAAAGAAGGGTGATCTCAGCATCAATTAGATACATGAAAACACTGCATCTATCAATTATGGAATTGCAAGTTTTTTTTTCCCTCAGGAAAATGATGAACAAGAATTATTAGAATTTAGAACATGCCTTCATGCCTTTATTTGGATTTCGTTCTTTCAAATTTGGATTATTTATAATAAAAAAAAATGATGGAAGCTCCATAATTCAATGGACAATAAAGGAGGAGAGATGACAGAAATTGAAGAAATTAGAGGTGAAATAAGTTACAGGTGAAATGCATACATTACCACAGACAGCAGCTTGCAACAAAAAACGATGGAGAAGAGAAGACGAAAAAATTACAATTACTGCTTTTTTTTGTTTGCTTTCAGGCTCAGCTACGCTTGACCGGATCGAAGTTCGACACGCCGATAACAGCTCCGACTATGGCTACCACCACCGCTCCACCGGCGGCAATGCTGAGCAAGAAGTTCTTGAGCGACGGAGAAATTCCAGGACCGGCAGCCTCAGCAACCTCCGGAATCACCATCGACGCCGTCAGCACGGCGGCCGTGAGTCCGGT